GCAGTGTAGAGTAGCACTTGTTGTTTGTCATTTCTCCGATCACAAATGCAGACATGGTTTTATGTTTACGCGATGCTGCGCGATGCAACGCAATGCGTAAAAAGACAGTATAAGTCATTATAATCCGTAATTATGTCCCCACTGGATGCAACAAATGCCTCGTTTATAATGGGTTTTAATGTTTTTGTCTCATCGCCCCGGCCAGACAAGACATCACAATATGGTAAGGGACGTAACATTTCTGTCACACGCTTGAGGTATTCGGCCAATCACAACGCACTGGATAGCTGGCCAATCAGAGCACACCTCGCTTCAGACCGATGAGCTTTGTTTCAATCGACGCGTTTCAGAAAGGTGGGGCATAGAGGAGAAACAATAATGTACAGTATGTGGAAAATAATGTTTTTTTAACCTTAAACCGCATAAACACATTTCATTACAACAAATACACAAAATAATGTTCTTTTTAGCAACATCATATGACCCCTTTAAGACTAGCCTAAGTGGTTTACGCAATCGGCCCCAGATTTGAGTGTTGGGTGAGTTGCAAGTAATGATATGGATTTGTGTCTTGATTTTACCTTCTAACCAGTTGTGCTCTTGACTATTAAAATTAATTCATACATTCATTAATAAAAAATAAAAAAAAACAATCTAAATGTAAAAACATATAAACATTGAAATGAATGAAACCCAATGCCAGTCCATGTTTAATTTTCAATTCCTAAGTTTATAAACCACATTAAAAATGTTTAACACAATATGGGAAAATAGTAATTACATGTACATTATATAAAAGAAAATCTCTCTTATATGATTGGCTCCAACAGGATTCATCATTACAATGAATAAATAACACAGGTAAAAATATATTTTCTGGCTATTCGCTAGATACTGGAACTAATCATTATTTTCCTGCAAGTGTGGAATTTTCCAGTATTTTATATACAGTGAATCAATGCCGTTCATGCCATGCATGTTAACAGCCTCTCATACAGTTACATATTTGAATATTTATTTTTTATCAGATAAGCAAAGCATTTTGTTTACAAAGGGATGCAAAAGAGATAGAATCAGCTGTTGACAACAGGTAAAAAAAAAACCATTTACTGAAGCAAAGCATCAATCAAAATAAATTATACAAACTTAAAACGCCAGCAGGACTTAAAATTTGACATTCAATTTTTAAGTAAACAATCTACAACTATGTGGTCCACTCTTTGAAAAACATGCGTTTAACATTTTTAAATAAAACAGAAAAAAATCTCCTAACGTTTTTCACCAAAATCACGGGGGCAACATTGATTTACAAAACAACCTTTTGGTATTTGAAGCATCTTAATCTGCTGTCCCATCAACCATTGATTTATATTTCATTTGGACCCTTTTGATAACTGGCAAGAACTAAACCAGGCCAGGTCAAGAGAGAGAAAAAAACTCAGACTAAAGGCACTTTGCATTTATCTACAAGAACAGACAGCTGTCTAAATATTCTAAATCATGAGTGAAAATGAGTCAAGTGGGTTGGAATAATTTTTTGTTCCTTCGAAAAGTAGAAAACCACCTCTAAAATATGCATCAATGATGTAGTAGCTCCCTGAATTTAGTGGAATAAATTTCAGAAATCCAAAACAAAAACAAAAAACCTGTTCAAACTGGAAATGTTAATGGTCGTTGCTCTTTTTAGCATGAACTATGTAGCCTTTTGCTTTTATGATGCCTCTGCTCTTGACGATGATAGAGTACCGTAAGACCCACTCCAGCCTCCAATCGGCCACCTGCAGGTCCTTACTGCTCCCCTGCACTGCTTCCTGGAAGCCTGCTACACTGATTAGCTCTAGACACAAGAAGAAAGTTTGGCATCATTAGATTTCCTGTGGTGTTGCTCATGCGGTTTTATAATTAAACTGCAGAACCAGTTCATGCACAGTCATTGAGCGCAATGACTCAGCATAAAATACACACCTTTGGGGTCATTGTGAGTAAGCAATTGTATGTCGAACTCTTTAGCAAATGCAGTGAGGTCTGGAGGCATCACACAGCACGAGGCCAGATTCACCTGATTACTACTCGGCTTTACCTGCATAGCATGATAGAGTACAAAATACATTGTAAATGATAAATTATTCTGTTATGTGCAGAAAAAATACACACTCATAGCAGACCTGAGCCCAGTTATAGAGCTGCTCTAAGAGAGTTTTGTCCAAGTCCGACGTGCCGATGGCAGCGATCTTCTGGCTTTGCACAAGACTTTCCAGCTCCTTCCACAGCGGCTGCAGGTGGGTCAGCGTCTGTGCCTCGCCCTCCGGGAGAGGAGGTGGAGCAATGATCACAGAATCCAACTGAGATACGCCTAATGAAAGACGAGCTGAACAACACGGAGAAGAGGAGAGAGGGTTATTGTCAAAACAATTGAATTTAATATTCACATTCAATGCCATTCAAACGTTTGGGCTCAGTAAAAAAAAATTAAGAAATAATATTCAGCAAGGATGCATTTAATCAATAACAAGTGACAGTAGAGACTTTTACATTGCTACAAAAAAACTATTTCAAATAAATGCTGTTCTTAATCTTTTGAACTTTCTATTAATCAAAGAATCCTGAAATCATGTATCACGTTATCATGTTAAACCACAAAAAGTTAATGATGATGATTAAAATGATGATAAGAAATGTTTCTTGAGGACAAAATCAGCATATTAAAATGATTTCTGAAGGATCATGTGACACTGAAGACTGGAGTAATGGCTGCTGAAAATTCATGCTGAAAATGAATTACATTTTAAAGTAATAAAAAAAACAGAACTTTTATTTAAAATGGTATTTAAAAAAATTCTAAATCTTAATGTTTTAATGTATTTTTGATCAAATAAATGCAGCCTTGGTAAGCAGAAGGGATTCTGCATTGGGATGTATATATTGACTAAGTGATTTGAAAGGGATTTGGTCAAAAATACTGCCACTTAGGCATATTTGATGCCACTTGAAGTATGAAGTTTATTCCTAAGCTTCACAAATTAGTCATATCATGAGGACGTTGCTGATTTCATACTCTAATATATAAAATATATGATTTAGTATTGTAATTATAGAATTACAAATTATTATATTAATTAATTATGGATCATAATTAACATATAATGTGATCTCTTGGTTTAGAGACTAATACTTTTCATATATTTCTTAGAGCCTTAAATGTCTAAAACACACTCTTAGTATGCTCAATTCAGTTAGTTTAAGGTAAGAAACTTGCACTAAGTAAATATACATGATCAGTTTTACCTAATTAAATATAATACTTTTCATGTAAATGGCATCACACTAAGCAGAACATACCCATGTCCACCGCACTTCTGATGGATGAACGGTCCGACTCAGTGAGAAAAAGCTTTACTGTAAAGACATTTAAACATATTTAATAACATGCACATGCACTGCAGCAGCATTATTTAATGCACTAAGGATCAGTAATCCTCACCAGACACTTTCAGCTCCTCTCTCTCCTCTGGAGTGATGGCCTCTGTGTTTTCTGGAATAGTACAATCCAGAACACTGGGAAGCTCCTAAGGAAAAAAAACAGAAGTAATTGCAAAACTATGCTATCATGGAAAGTATCCAATAACTTACTGGATTATGCATTATAGTTCCATAATTTTTTGGCAATCTTGTGTCTATGAAACTCACTTTACTTTACATGTGAAAACATCAGACACCTTGATAATGGACTGCATGAAAGGAATGCATCAATAAGCCTCGCCTTTTGTGTGCTAAGACCTTTACTCTCCACTCGCTGAGCTCTCAGGCAGATTCGCTGACAATGGCAGAATGAGCCAGAGCAGAGGCACAATCACCATAACAACTGTCTTTTCATCCCACTGCCTATATATGCTTTAATGGTGCTAAAAGAGACAGACAGTTTGCTTTCCCACAATCCATAGAGTGCTCAACTGTTTATGTTCAGGGGTCTGATTATTTCATGCAAATCTTTAATATGTCAAAGATGACATTTTTTTTTTAGCTTAAAACGGCTTGTTTGTAAGTTCTCAAGGTTTCCTTTTCCACTTTCGCAATGAGTGTCATGCAAGGTCTTACAGAATCAAGAGATGACGGCATTGCGGCAAACCACTCGCTCAGTGTGCCTTGGATGCAGTCTTGAAGCTGTGAATTTAGAAAAAAATGTTACAACAGGCTACAAAAAACAACATCTTGGCAGCTTTCACAAACCCTTTTCATATTCATAGGCACAGACACGTTTGGCCCTATAGGCTTTTTTTAGAAAAGTCTAATTTAAAAAAAAAGTGCATAATTTAATTATGGCTACCAATAGCTGCTCGCATTAAATTCAAGGTATTGATGTTTGCCTATGAAACAACCACTGGCTCTGCACCCCTTTACATAAATGCACTAATTCAAACTTATGTGCCCTCCAGAAGCTTGCATTCTGAGAGTGAACGGCGCATTATATGGCCATCCCCCCAAAAAACACAATCATCTGCCCAACTCAATCCGAGCAGCTGAGTCCTTAGCCATCTTCAAGAAACAGCTAAAAACACATCTCTTCCATCTACACCTGACCTGTAGATTAACACTAGCACTCTTTATTATTTTTTTATACTATCTACTTGTTTTCTGTGTGCGCGCGTTTTTGTGACAAATGAGGACATACATTTGTATAATGACAAAGGTATGACATAGGTATTACAAGGAGAAGGTGACTTTTCAGGACATTACCCCATGTCCCCACTTTTCAAAACGCTTATAAATCACACAGAATGGAGTGTATTGAAAATCTGAAATAGCACAAAGTTTCCTGTGAGGGGTAGGGTTGGTGTAGGGCAATAGAATATATGGTCTGTACAGTAGAAAAAACATTGCGCCTATGGGATGTCCCCACTTTTCACAAAAACAAACCTGTGTGTGTGTGTGTGTGTGTGTATAAAATTCATAAACAGAAAAAAAGAAACATGAAATAAAATGAAAAACATAGAAACACCCTGTTATACACTGTTGAGGGAAAAAATTCACATCAAGACATCATTAACATCTTCTAGTTATAATCTTACAATACCATCTTCACATACACATATTTAAACATTACTGATCCACTTGCATGGGCTTGAACAATAAGCCACATTTTTATTATTGGATGTTAGAGAGATTTTAGCCAGTGAATATAAAATGCACAGTCATTTGTCAATCATCTGTTGAGCTTATGAGACATTCTGATGAAAATCTACATCAGCATGACATTGTATCATCCTTCATTCCAGCATGTCGGGTCAGGTCACATTTAATTATGTACACTCTATCAGCAAGTGTTACTAGGCAGAAGCATTGCTTGTACTCACAACTACAACTAAAGAAGGTAGAACAAAACCCTGAGCATTTGAACGTCAATGCAACAACAGTGCGAGGCATTGCAATTTCTCATACCGCATTTTGCATACAGTGGCATGTCATGAGCAGCACGAGGCACACTCGCCACTGACGTCATTAATAGAAGAAGACGCATCATATATTTTAGCTCCGGAATCGTTATTGTGAGCCGAGTCGATCTGAATGATTCGACTGAACCGATTCGCAAAGCTTTCGACTGTAAGGTGGGAGTCATGCCGGAACATAAACAAAGAACCATATCACCAATTTTTTTTTCGAACAGTAATGACAATATATCGAGGAAAAGTATAATTAACCTAATTAGGTTAATCACGACAGAATCCAAATACAAAACAAGTGCACACAAAATCCAGTGTCTACAACTAAAACAACACATTATTTAGAATCAATATTGAAAACATACGTATTGACTCTTTTTAAGCGTTCGTAGATGATACGTCCAGGAACACGAGTGACGTCTCAAAAGATTCTGTGAATCGGTTCGGTGAATGAACCGTCCGAAGGAGCCGATGTTAAAAAAAAAGAATCGGACTTCACAAAAGCAACGACAACCTTATCATAAATAATGGGGTGACCCTTGGCCAAACTCCTTCACCGAACAATATCACACTGTAAAACATGCTATGCCCGTTTTGCCAAAATGGACCAAGATGCACCACGAGCACCACAAACTCATGTCACTTACCTCCTCGCTAGTTGAAGACGGACATTTCTTCTTAAGTCGACTGCGGTTGACTAAATTCCCCGTGTGAAGCTTTAGGGTTGTCGCGTGATTAAAAAGCTGCTTCGCATTTACATGAGGCTCCATTGCTCCGTAAAAATCGGTGACTGGAAACAAGTGCTGTCTATATGTAACTATTAACCGTAGAATACCCTCGGGTACAATGTTTCCCTCTCTCTCGAGTACACTAAACAGTGTAGTATGACTTTGAACTTGTAGTTCATTCAAGTAGAGAGGAGGTTAGAGCAGAGAGTTTCACGCCCACATTAAGAATATGGATGGGTTGCGCTGGAAAACCTGGCGAGGATCAGCCCAAAATGGATCGGATGAGTGATTTAATGCAACGTTCAAACTTTCTGAGGCCCCCTATTGTCCAACACAATATTCAAAGGACCCCATTCTTCAATAATGATAACAAAGCTGCTGGCTTTCAAGCTTGTTTATTTATAAAGACAAGAAGTGCATCATAAGAATCACTAATCTGTTCATTTCTACACTGCATGCTCATCAATGAAAACAATTGTTGAGGAGACCAACTAAAATATGAAATATATAAATGTTTAGTATTTTAATAAGTTATAATATAATATTATCTTATCTTACAGCCTGGTGAAGCCCCGCCCCTGAGTGAGAATGATTAGAGGCATCTTACTTTTTTTGCTTTGTCATTATGACACAGCACGCATTATTACAGTATATATGTTTAGTTATCACTGTGACAGCAAGCTGCTTTTAATAAACTTTCAAATTAAAAGTTAATACAAAATCGGACTTTTTTAAATAAAAAATCAACTCACCAAAATAACAGCAAAAATGTGCTATTCACAACTTTTATTGTACATTAAAGTAAAAAAAAAAAAAAAGACATTGACAACATAAAACGAAAGCATTTAATTGCAGACAACCAGATGTGTTTTTCACCAGTATTGTAGAGTTTCTTACAAAACCAAAAAACAAACAACAAAAAAAGGGGTCCTTCCAAGCTATTTACGCAAAGTACCCCCAAAGAAAGACATTGACAGTGAGTAAAATAAGGGCATTAACATTGCAGACAGTCTTCCAGGTGTGGTCTTCTTCAATACTGGTGAGTTTCCTTTCCAGAGCCTTCTGTTCCTCCTCACTCATCTCGTTTAGCCACATGGGAGAGACCACACAGCCACATTCCAGCACGCTTCCACCATGCAGGCGTATCCTCATCCGACCCCTCTGACTCTGTAGTGCTCGGAGCAGAGCCTGCTGGTTGGGACCCTCTAGCCCAGTCTTGTCCACCAGGTCAAACGAACGAGCTAAAATGAAATATAAGTGTTATATTAGCTCATGTTCAGTGTGTTTCTACTAAAATATTGTCTTCAATAATATGTTTTGTTCATATAAATATGTAGGCAACACTTTATTTTGATAGTCTACTTTAGACCTTCAACTAACTATAATTAACTTTGTAACTGCATGTCAACTACCAGTCGTTAGAGTATTAGTAGACTGTCTGCTTAATATCTGATACTTTATTGTTGATAGTCTACTTTAGACCTTCAACTAACTATAATTAACTTTGTTACTGCATGTCAACTACCAGTCGTTAGAGTATTAGTAGACTGTCTGCTTAATATCTGATACTTTATTGTGATGGTCCCCCCACAGACATTCTACTGACTATAAGTAACTTTGCAACTTATTCTACTAACCCTAACCTAGAGTTAGATTACATACAGTTGCAAGTTAATTGAGAGTTAGTTGCAAAGTTACTTATAGTTAGTAGAGTGTCTAAAGTGGACTATCGAAATAAAGTATAACCAATATATAAATAAATAATACATTATACATTCTTTCTTTGCTGTTTTTAATGCCAATAAAGAAATGAAAGTCTTGTCTACATAAATACATTTTCAAAATGAAGGTAGTGTACATGTGTTGGTACTTTGAGTAGCTAAAACCTGACAAAACTTATTTTTGTGGACATTAATAGGGAAGAAAGTGGTTCATAAATGAATTAAATTACAATTAATCACTAAAATTAAACAAAAAATGCTAAATGTTTTTAGGAGTGGGATTAGTCTGTTATATGCATTTTTTAAACATTTTAAACCAATATAAATGCATGCAAAGTCCCCGTGTAATTGGGTATGTAGCATTTATCTCCTTTTTGTACTTTTGTATACAAGTGGATAAAGAATTCTTTAAATGTGTATGTATTTGGATCGCGATCCATAGTTACATGTTGCTCTGGAATAGGTGCCGTGCAGAGGCTGAAAGCTGTGATGATCAGAGCTGTCAGTGCAAGCAGGATGAGAGCAAAATACAGGTAGTGCACATCTTTCAGCAGGGCAGGACGCAGGTCTTTTTCTCTGCATGATGGGGGACTGTACACAAATTCCATTACCATCCTCACAGTGCCCACCACTAGTCCCACCATCAGACCCCAAAAAGCACCCTGTGCAAGATAAAAAGAAAACAACTTAACTTGAATGTTATACAAACTTTTTTAAATAAATGCATCAAGTGTAATAGGCCATTGAACTTTCACTTTATTGCATGGGCACAAGAAAAGGTTTATTAATTCACCTGTTCATTTACTCGCCCCCATAAGATTGCCATAATGAACACTGTGGTGATGGGAGATGCCAGGTAGCTAGTGATTGACTGAATGTAGTTAAAGAGTTGTCCACTATTAGCTGCTTGAATGACTGGAATCCACACAATGCTCAGGGCCACTAGCAATAAAATGAACACCCTGTGGATGTAAGTAAACAGCAGCAATTAAGACCCATGAGACTCAGGCTGTTCAGTAAAATAAAAGTGTATATTATGGAAAAGGACAACTGGTCTGATTTGATTTTGAACTTATTCGTGTTTCATGAGCCTCACTGACACTGAAAGCTCAAATGGTGCCTTTATCGCCCCAAAACAGGTCAACAAAACCACCCTGATGTGGTTAAACCACTTGGTGGAATTGGTGGTGGACTGCTTCCACTTTCGTTGAACTAGTTTGTAAGCATATAATGACAGCATTCACTTCTTTTAGATACTTCAGTTTATTTCTGAAAAATACTGTATGTTCAAAATGAAAGTTTTTCCACGAAACATTTAACAGACTATCTGCCCACTACCATGAGCTCTCTCTCAGTGGCCCGGTGCCGATTAAGTTGCCATATGTCCATGGTGAGAGGTGAGAGAGGACATGAGTGCTGCCATCATTACAGCGATCATCAGACCCTCAAACCTACAACACAATTACAAGGAAAGAAAGAATGCATTAGCAAATCAAGAACAAGAGGAACATCATTGTTGCTCTGTAATCTCTGTTGTAGCAGTCAACATATTTGATCATATCGGAGCATCCCTTTTTTTTTTTTGTACAAGAGCATTATAGGCTCTCTCTCACTACATAAATTATTTGAATGAGGCATTTTGAAGGCACTTAAAAAGTACTTTGAAATATGTTTAGCCATTATGATCTTCAAACTGTCTTATCAAAATCGTATCATAAAAGAACTGGGTAGAAAAGCTTAAAATTGAAATTCTGGCAAAAGTAACATTAACGTTTCTCTTAAAAAATAAGGAAAAGTAACTATAGAGACTTAAATTATAACATCTATTATAATTTATCACAGATATATATTATAATTTAAATATTTTATTATAATATAATTATACTATTGATGCTATTTAGAACAACTGTTAGTTTATTAACATTTTCGATCGAATTAATTTTGTTAAAATGATCCTAGTGGACAGAACAACAAATTTCAACAAATTGAAAAATCACATCTGATTATTCTGAAAAAAACATAAGGTTGTCATACCCACTGGCATGATCTCCACAACTAACTTTGGGTAGGCAATGTTAGAGCAGCCAACACTGGCCCCACAGATCTCCATACACTCACCAGGATCCACACATCCTACTTCATCTAGAAAATGCATAAACTACTACTACTACTAACTACTACTACTAACCATAAAAGTAGAGATTTTACATTTATGCAAATTAATGGTGTGAATAGTCCATTAAACCCCGTTTTATGGGTTAAACAAATGTTTAGGTAACATCTTTCTTAAATCCAGACCATAGATTAGGGGAAACGCAAGGAATGACTGAGTAGTACTTGGGTAGAGAGCTCTGCTGATCATTCCTGGCATAACGACGAAGAACAGAGGGAAGACCTTGAGGTAGCCACCGAGTACCGAAACGCCTTTGGCATGGGACAAGTTTTTGGCAGAGAGAGACCTTTGCACTATCACCTTCAAACATGAAACAGATGCAACTGCTTGCTGTAAAACAATTTTTACGCTTAAAGAGACAAATTTGTGAAATCCTCTGCTGAATACTAATTCAAGCAAAAATCTACAGTATTATAAATTCACCTGGTCTGTGCACCACACCCATGTGGCCAGAACAGTGAGTCCAAAAATTAGGCCTGGCCAAGGAACATCTCCTGTCACTGGATCTCTGAAGATATGAAAGGCGTCGGACCGAGGAAGATGACAAGTGGTGTTGGGAACTGTGATAGCAGGTACAGCTCTCTCATACTGAACCAGCAAACCCTCACACCAGCCAACTTTGTTGAATGCTGTCAGGGGAAATTCAATTGAAATGCAATCACTGTTCTTACCCTGGAATAATTCTTGTAAGTATAACATTTCATCAGCGAGAGATCTATACCTATGAACATGAGGACAAATGCTCCTATTATGATGACGGTCTGAAAGGCATCAGTGTATATAACCGCTGTCAGGCCACCTGCATTAAAACAAGCCACCAATTTAAGCATTTCATCTAGAATCACATTTAGGCATAATGCTGTGACCCATGCTGACCCCCTAAGTTATCGAAAGTATCAGTCATTTATGTGTTGTTTTATTACCAGCTATCGTATAGAGTGCAGTGACGACTAGCAGCACAACGGTGGAGACATACAGGTCCCATCCCAGCCTGGAAAGTGTCTGTCTGGAAAGAACACGGTTAAGATTATGAATAACTTTATTACACATACATTAAAACTTACAACTATGCTGAAATGCTATTTGTTGTTTACTGTTATTGTAGACTTCATAGCATATTGTATTGTTGCGCTTTGGCTTAAGTATCAATAAAAAACATGCTTTATGATAAAATAATAGTTATATATGGTTTTTTTTCATTCATGCTAGACTCATTTATCATTATAATTTAAATTTAAAACAATACATAACAATATAAAGTCCTCTTGTCCTTCTAATTTGCATATTTTTGTAATTGAATACTTTTTTTCTAATTGTATATCAGATTACCAT